ACTCTTACGCCTACGCCTACGCCTACGCCTACTCCTACTCCTACTCCTACTCCTCCTACTACTACTACTACTACTACTACTACCACCACTACTACTACTACTACTACTACCACCACTACTACTCCCCCTCTACTACTTCACATACTGCTGCTACTCTTATTCTTACTGCTGATAAATCTAGTCCTACCGCTACTGGACAGTGTTGAAGTTACAGAAGAAGCCGACCAACCTAAAGGACCAGCTCCTCACGTGAAGCGTTAGGGATCAACACTTGAAGGCCCTGTCGGTTGCCGACCGGCACGAAAAGCTGTAATATTCAGCCGATGAAAAATGAAATCACATGTCACACAATGTAGGCTGTTTTGTTGAACAGGCTTTTGGGTAATGTTATCGTATGAGTGTAAGAAGGAAAGCTATGCGATATTGTGTTCTGTGCTGCGCATTTCCCGCGGCCCCCGAATGACCACCTTGTACTTCGTTCACTGGTCCGATTAGATGCTCGAAGAGGAGGCGGATTTTAGATCTCAACTGTGGATTCGGAGCCGTCACTGAAGGACAGATCGACCATCGGAGAGTCTTCCACGACCGCACCTGAGCGTTCTTCTCAAATGCCTTTTTGACCTCTCTGCAGATACCTCGAAAGCCTCTCTCGCTCCTGTCTTCTTGGGACCCGCCGCACCTGGGAAGACGGTCATGGAAGGTCTTGTCTGGAGTGGCTCCCGATGCTGCGAGAGGCGTTCGACGATGATCTTCGCCTGAAGGTCCAGCTGCCTTTCGTTGGAGCTCCTGGCAACGACCACGCCTCCGGACTCCGAGCAAACTCCTTTGTCATGTATGCTCTCGGGTCCCTTGTCACCATCCCCCCCCCCCATGGTATACCCCCCCCCGTGGCGCCCCATCGGACCTGCCCCTGCTGCTGCGCGGATTGAGGGTGCGGCACTTCCCACCCCACCCTACGGCACCCAACCCCTGCTCCCTGCAGAAAGCGGCGATCTGCGCAGCAGTAGTTTCCCGCATCAGACATGCATTACAATGATGAGGGTTGTACGGCGATGGTGATGGTGGCAGTTGTTCTGTTGATGGTACTGATGATGAAGATGATGACGACAATAATGATGTTCAGCATGATGTCAAAGATGATCCGGTTGTCGACTCGCGTCAAGCATCGAAACCACAGGGGCGGGGACGGCGGGGACGGGATGCGAAGGGCACCACCACGGGCCCCACCCCACAGGGCGGGGGAGGGGGGGCACATCCTCTATCTCATTACAGTGAACAGTACCTGGACTTGGACTCTTCGGCTCACTGTTGGTACACTGAGTACACTGGTCTGCTCTTCATGTCTCTACAGAAATTGCTTGGTTATGACGGTTACGGTTGCTCGCCAGCGGTGATGGTAAACGCTCTCTTGACATCATACCAGCAAATGCCTGTGCGCACGTCATCAGAAGAACTGCTACGATGAGCGTCCTGACTCACGAACATACCATCAGAATCGGATACTGCGGACCATTCACACTGTAAGCTACATGTTCCCCTATCGCCATAACATCCCTCTCGTGACGACCACTCTACAGTACTGCAATCCCAAGCCTCTTGCAACCCTCTCTCGTCCTGGGCATGAAAGGCACGGAAATCTCATGGAAGGCTGCCTCCAGGACCTTGCTGTACAGATTTTCGTCCAAGCCATCCTGTCCGTCGCCAAGGGAAAGGCCGGCTAGCTTGTTGTGATCGAAGGAGGGGATCTGAAAGGAGTCCTCCACAACAAGTGGCAGGATGCAGCTGGAGTGATGGTGGCCCAGCTGTAGGAGCCAAGAGGCCACCTGAGGTACCTCCAAACACCCTGCCGTGCAGAGAAGCAACGCCTGTGCGGTGCCCGAGGAAGACATACAGTCAGCCGTGTCCCCGGGACGCATCACATGTAGCGATCCCTTGAAGGACAGCTCTAACATCTTCGTGCCTAACACCATGTTGAGGGCATACGCTGCCGCCTGTGCCTCTATGCGCGTCGTGTCCGCTAGGACGAGGTACGTGGTCTGTTCAACGCTTGTGGAAAGGCTGGCCTGCACGACGGCGGAGCGTTGCATACCGCTGCTGTCGTTGCCGACCAGCCATCCGACTGTGCGTGTCAGCATCTCAGGATCGCAGTCAACCATGTCGAAGCGCTCCACAGAACTCAACCATGTGAGCGTGTCTTGAATCTGTTCAAGAGCTATTGCATGGACCGCAAGCTCCTTAACACGCGGCACGAAAGTCTCGTACGCTTCGGTGAATTGCCGATCGGGCATGACGAAACCGGGTATAGAAAGCAGCACAACCTCAACACTGTGGGCCTTAGCTGTCACCACCTCACCGACACACCACCTCTGCAGCAAGAATTCGCGGCCTGCCACGACCACCAGTGTGTCGACGTCCCGGGCGATGCAGGTGAAATGTTGCGTCAGGTCCGCCAGATCGTCAGAACCGATAAAGGTCCGCAAGTTGTGCCTTCGCTGCAGCTCGAGCTTCAGTAAGCGCGCCAATGTCCCCGCCTCGGGCGTGTGGTGGCTGAGGGCGAAGCGGAAGCGCCGTTGCCTTGAGCAGCGGCGCCGCGCGGCCGACACGACTACCAGAACGCCCCAGACGAGCATGATGCAGCTAGCCACAAGACAAATGACCATTAGCGTGTATCCATCTTCCACGGTGGGAGCATAGAACTTGCCCATGTCCAAGACCAACAGCAAGCCGGCATGCATCGCCAGATCCCCGTACGTGGCCAGCTTCGTCCGCCATGGCATCCAAAATGCCAGCCCACCGAAAGTGCTGTACAGGGCTGTGCAAAGCATCAGCAAACTGCCCGCCTGAGATGATATCAGAGGAGACACCGTCACGAGCACGTTCCGGATGAGGACAGCAACCGCGAAGGCCTCTACCCCCGGGCGGTAACGCAGAGTCAGGAAAGAACAGGCATTCACAAAGTAGACGTCAGCCTTTTGAATGCGCTTCGGAAGATCGACAAAGAGAATCCGAACACAGGTAGCGAAGAAGGCAATCGGAACTTGACATATGACAAAGGCGACCATGCATATCTCCAGGTGCTCACCACGGAAGTTACAGAGCACGTCATTACGGGATTGCATGGTCCTGCTTCCATTCGGATGTGAGTAGCAATAAAAGGGCTCAAGAATTGACGACAGAATTGAAATGAGGAAGAGCATGGAGAACGAGCCGACGGTCTTCCCCAGCAAATCCAGGCGCAGACCAGTCCTCTTCCAGATGATGTACACAAAGTGCACGAGCAGCAAAGAAAACACGAAGGCAAGCGGGAGCAGTAATGCGGCCATCAAGTACTCTTCCACTGCCGACGCCGGGAGGATGCATTGAATCGGGCTGAAGGAATACACCAGCGCATCCAAGGACAGGTACTCTGAAGCCCTCAACAAAAGCAGAAAAGGCTCCTGCACGGATAATGGGATGCGACTGCTTGCAGCGCCTCTGAGTTTCTGAATTATTGGATTTCTAGAAGACACTACAACCGTTGCATTCACTGCATGTGCACTCAAAACAAGCCAAAAGGGCCTCCCTTACTATCAAAAGCCCCCAACAAGCCTCCCACGGAATCCGCAATCTGCGCATGATGCCAAACACCTGAGCCAACGTCACCAGTCGGCTGAAGCTAAATGCAGCATTCAGCAGGCTCCCATGCTGCCTGCCATGGCCGGCCTCTGCGATGAGAGAAGCATGCAGACAGCCCACAACCAAAACCCCGAGAAAAAAAAGGCCAACGACGATGGCAAAGTCCGTTGCAGCGCATTCGCGGCACTGGCCATCTTCTTGTGGCTGGAACCCCGGCAGGCACTGGGCACAGGCCAAGCTCCGGTTGTCGCGGCCTGCCGCGCAGCTGCCGGGAAGTCCACCCGGGCAGCGTTGCGAGTTGCCAAAGCAGCGGAAAACGTTGCCGGGATCCTCGGGGAAAGCGAAGAAGCCCGGCTTGAGCGCGAGGTTCGTGGGTCCAAGGCAAGTCGCACCCTCCAGGCACAACTCACACTGGCCTTGCCAGAGGTGGCGGCCTTCTACGCATGCACAAGCGTCCTTGGAGGTGGTCCCACGCACTTCGATCCACCGACGAGCACCACCACCATTTCTGCCGTCCGAATCGCTTGCCACCAGCTCCTTCGTAGTCCAGCTGTCATCCCCGCAGCTCTCGCAGGCCGTGCGGCCTTCCTGATCTGCAAAGGTACCTAGCGGACAGAGGCCGCATTCCGTGGCACCCGCCTGATTGGCGACCCGACCCAAGGCACAATGATTGCAGCTAATTTGGTTCGCAAACTCCTGGTAAGTGCCCGGGGGGCAAGTGGCACAGCGGTATGTGAAGCCTTCGCTGTCCAGAAGGGGCTCCGAGAAACGACCAGCCGAACATATGCTGCAACCGACCGCTTCGTCGCCACGACTGAGAAGAAATTGACCACCTGGCCCGTTCTATCAAAGAGTAATTTCTGCGTGGCAGACCCGAAAAACAAGTCCAAGACGTTGCAACATCTCGGACAAAAACTTAACCAACAAGGCCCCCTGGCCCACCTGCATCAGCAAGACCGGACCCCGCGTCGCACGTTGTGGGAATCCATGTCCTCCACAAAGACTCACTGGACCGCACCCAATCGCAGGCCGCGCGATGGATCACGGAGCTTCCTTCCCCGGGACCATCACCGGGCGAGATTCCGCCCTCAGCCAGGCGCTGGTTCAGCTCCTCCAACATCCGAGTGTCAAGAGCAAACATCTCGACCAAGGTGTGGACTCGGGGTGCCTTGGTCTGGAGATTCGCGCTGACAAGCTTTCCCACATACCCCGGGGGCTGCTCCGTCCTCCACTTCCCCTTGGCCCACTCGCTGGCATTATACATAGGTAAGAGCAGAGGCGCCTTCTCCACGTCGAACCTGGGCTGCTTTTGTGTCCAACAACAACTGAAACTTGAAACTGAACCTTAGGCCCAGAAACCGGTAATTCTCCGGCTCCCACCAGTAAAACAATGTTTTCCCCTCCTTCATCTTCGCGAAGAAGTCGTAGACATGTGCGTAGCTTCCCAGGGCCAAAGGCAAGTCATGGAAAGCGGACCTCAGATCTGAACTTCGAGCCTCAATCTGAAGCGCTCGGCTTTGGCGCATAAGTTCAGGTCTATCTATGTATGTATGTATGTATGTATGTATACATATAGACATATACATGCACATATTCGTTTTCCTATACATTCACATATACATATACATATAAACATATAAACACATATACAGATATACATATATACAGATATACAGATATACAGATACAGATATACAGATACAGATATACAGATATACAGATACACAGATATACAGATATACCGTTTTCTGATATACATTTTTATGTATACATAAATATAAATATATATATATATATATTATGTATTATATACTATATGTTCTTATATTCTGGTTCCAAGATCCAGCAGGTTGCGAAACTTTGGAATGGGAACAGCTATCAGGCAAGTGACCAATGCATCATGGAGAGGAAAAGCCTGCCTGAAAAGGTGACTGTAGCAATGCAGCTTGTCACATTGTGTCGGCATGCCGGTGCGATCCAGAAATAACCGTCGGGGCACCAAATCGTGTTGGTTCCGTCTGCATCCTGTATGACTCCATCTGCGTCGCCAGTCCAATTAATGTAGTTCTCCAGCTCCTCGCTTGAGGGTAGCCAACTATTCGCGGAGCGGTTGCAGGTGTCGAAATCGCTGGTATTCAACGAGTCAAGTCCATCGAAATATTTCCTCGCATCGTGATGCGTGGTGTTGTAGCTGCCGTGCAGATTCAGGATGACGCCATCCTGTCAGCACAGCCCTGATCAAGAAAACATGTGCTAGCATTGTTAACGCAGCTCCTCCTTCACTGTGACTACTCCTTCTGCTACTGCGACAATAAATACCAGCACAACAAGAAGAGTAGCAAACACAACAGACCAATGGCAAATCTGAGAACAGTGCAGCTTCGGTGAAAACACATCACATGAACATCATTAGGCACACTGGTGGAAACACCATTAAGCATGATACGGCCTTCAGCACAATTTCAGTCGTCCTTGACAGCCCTGCGACTATAGTCAAGTCGTTTCCGAACTTTCGCCGCGATGCCTGCAAGGGTGCCTCTGCTTTTCTTGGAACCTGAAACAAAACGAAAGCCAGCAACGGGAGCGATGACGAGAGAAGCCATGGCGAGACTGACAGCAGCAGCAGGAACCCAGAGCCTTCCAAAATAGAATCACTTCCACGAGAGCACGGAAGAGTGCACAAAAAAAACGCAGTCGTATTCACAGTGCTAACAAGCGCAAGAACAAGAGAAACATAGCAACAGTAGTTAGGGCTCGATAACAGAATCGCAGCATAGACTGCGAGACATGGTATGCCCTGGCGGTAGTAAATGGTAATAAGTTAGAGCAGTGGCATGCACACATCTTTCGCACGACGTTGGATGCGAAATTTGCCCAATAGCACCCGACGCAGCTTCAACTTGCCCCCGTATGAAGCCACAGAGTCCTAACTCAGCCGTGTCAAGCAGCATTAACGACATCAGCAAAACGAAACGAAAACCCAGCAACCCAGCAATGACACCAACAAATAGCACCACTTCTAGCAACCATCGAAAGGAAAACTTAAACGTCTACTTGTTAAATGCTCTCAGCATTGTCGACGCCACGCGCTGAAAACAAGGAGTCAAAGATGCTCGGCCTTTGTGCAAGCACTGCCGAGGCCAAAACCCCATGCTGCCTTTTCATAGCATCAACTTCTTAGCTCCCTACGCATACTTCTCATCTCCAGCGCCTCAGACCTTCCAGCAGAGAGACCAAGTGACAATGAAGCTCGCGAGCTCGAACAGAGCCTGAACCCTGAAACATGGCCCTACAGGGGCGCTTCGCAGGCCTGCGCCACGCATTCCAGACAACCCAATCCATGAAGCCCGAACTTTGTGCAGACCCCCCAAGCTTGTCAACTGCCAAAACAATCTATATTGAATCTATTCAACACTTTAGCCGTTCCTCGCGAGCCGCATCTAGCTGCGAGCGTTTCATGTAGATGTGCTCTCCACTTCGAAACCTTTGCTTCGCGGGCTACAGGGCGAGTGCACAAGGACTTGAAAACCGTCTTGCAGATTTGCCACAGGTCTGCGGTTAGGTCCATGTGGTTTGAGGCTTGGAGTGGTCGGACTAGCGTCAGGAACTTGCCTGTGTAAGAGTGCTGCGAACAAGCTCTTCGGCTGCTTCCCTTTCAACCCTCTTTCAGCATGGGCTTGGATTGTGTTGAGGAGTGTGTGCCAACAGCAGGGCCTTCTGGTAAACCCCAAGCGACGGCTCTGAAAATCTGACCAGCAACCCATTAGAGCCCAGATCTCTTGGACTTCGCTGGCAGCACTCCTGGCGGCAAGAAACGGCATGATTTGCACTGTCCTGACAAAAAACCCAATAAACCTGTAAACACTCTACACTCCTAAGTCCTAAGCCGGCTTGCCTCGCGGGTCCCGAACCCCCCCCCAAAAAAAATCCCCAGAATGCCAAACCGTAACTCCTCAAAACCCCAAAAACCCCTCTCTTGTTGGAGGAGGGGCTGCAGTACACATGCCCTCATGCTCTCCGATCCTCCACGCTTCGGCTCTCCGAAAACCCTCGAAATCCTACACCCAGGGTTTCACGTTTAGGGTTTGGGGTTCAGGGTACACCCTAAGCCCGAAAGCCCGAAAACCCGAGGGATCACAAAAACTCCCCGCTTTCCTCCAGCTCCCGGAAGGGCCGGAGGAAGGCCCGCTCGTAGGGCATCGGCCCAAACCCTGCACAGAGAGCGCTTTCTTTTAGGGGGTTTAAGGCTTATCCGGTTTAGGGTTTAAAGTTTAAAGTTTAGGATTGTAAGAATTTTTAGCCTCTAGACCTTGGATTTCATCAAACAATTGCTTTGTCATTTTATTGTCATTTTATTGTCATTTAGTTGTCATTTGGTGGGTTGAGCGGGTTGTCATTTTATTGTCATTTTGTTGTCATTGCTGTCAGTCGGTGGCTTTTTGCAATTGTCATTATTTTGTATTTTTTTTGTCATGTGCCTTTTTCTGTACGATGCCACGGATTGGAAACGGGCAAAGAGTCCCAGAATGACAGAAACATGACAAAGGGTTTGGGGCAGGACACCCAAAATGACAAAAAAATTACAAGGGGTTTGGGGGGGGTGACAAAAACAATGAATGGAAAATGACGAAGAAGATACTCCAAAATGATTCCAAAATGACAAAAACGTGATCCGAAAATGACAAAAAAATGACTCCAAAATGACAAAAATGACAATGCCTCGAGGATCGTGTCAATTCCGGCCCGCCCGCCTCTCCCATTTTGGAGTCATTTCTTGTCATTTTGGAGTCATTTTTGTCATTTTGGAGTCATGTTTTTGTCATTTTGGAATCATTTTGGAGTATCTT